TGGCTCACTCACTTTCAGCTGCATTCTTCATGTTAGCCACACTCCATGGCACTTTAAGAGAGACTTTCTAGGCAGGCCCACGGCCAGCTCCTTAGGCTGTAATCCTGATTGGTCATCTTTCTATCAAAGGCACTTAAAATCAGCAATTCCCCTCCAGTGTGAAGACACTGCAATCAAAGTTGCGGCAGCCTGACTTGGTCTGAATAGGCCTATATATCTCTGAACCAGTTATTTATCTGCCTGTTATTTCCCCACATGAAGCTTTTAGAGGAGGAAGAAAAGATGGAAGAACAAAACCCCCTGTGCCCGAATGGAAGATGAACCTGAATGTAAGATCAGGGGTGCCAGCTATGGGTTAGGAGATTCCTGGAGATCTGGGGAGGGTGAAATTTGGGGAGGGGAGGAACTTCAGCAGAGTACGATGCCACAGAAGCTACCCTCCAAAGCAGCTGTCTTCACTACAGGAACAGATTTCTATAGCGGGGGATCAGTTGTAATTCCATGAGATCTCCAGGCCCCACCTGGAAGCTGGCAACTCTAATTAGATGATACTCTTAAAAATCCAAAATTTTTGGATTACTGTATGTAGTTGTAACTTATATGGGGATTTTAGATGCTCCTCCTTTTCTTGAACATGGGAAAAACAGTCTTCCTTTCAAGTAAACAAGCTGGGGACCTTGAAAAGTGTGTGTGTGGCAGGGGGTCCTCTCATTTTTCCCTCCCCCACTTTCCTTTTTTTTCCTCTTTCCCTTCTCCAAAAGCCCTTATAACTTCTCCCCTTTTCCTGGTTTCGTCTCTCCTTACCACCCACCAGCCAACCTCCCTTTGTCTGCACCCCTGCCTTCAGCTTTCCCTGATTCCTTCCCCTTGGCAGCCTTTCTCTGGGAAAACTCTTTATGGTTCCAGATGATGGACCAGTTGTACATTTAGCTATTGATTTTAGAGAATCTCTAATGGTATCACCCCAAGATCAACCACTGAGGCAGTAACATCAGAATTTTCACATTAAAGTTCAACACAGTTCTTTCTTGCAGAAAGTAGGGTTCCCAGACCCCCACTGGGGATGGAGGATCCTCTGTTCTGGGGCCCTTCCCCCTGGCACTGATCAGCTGGCCAGCAGGGGCACTTACAGGCAGCAAACTGAGACCTGGGTCTTTGTCACCAGCCACACAGCAATGTAACCTCTGGGGCACACTGAAAGTGACATCACCATGTTGCCGGAAATGTGGTGATGCTCTGGTACTTGGACCAAAAGTCTATGGTAAAAATGTCTTCTACCATAGAATTTTTGCCCAAATAACAGAGCATCTCCATGTTGCTGGTGGTGTGATGGCATCACTTCCACTGCACGGCAGAAGTGATATTACTGCATCGCTGGCAACAGAGGTCTAGGCCTCAGTTTGCTGCTGGGAAGTTCAAACCCTACCTCCCACTGTTTGCCATGGAGTACTTGGCAATCCTAGCAGAAAGCAACAAATAGTATGGTGACCTGGGACAAGATTGTCCATAAAATTGTTCACAGTATGGCTCACTTTGAATCTTCTCCAGCATTTGCTCCATCCCTCTCACAAAAGGCCAACTATCTGCAGTAACTGTCATCAGAAGTGTTACATTTAGAACTGTTCACGTTTATTTTGAATCACTTTTAAATAATAATAATTATATATAATAATTAATAATTGGTTTGCAATAACAGCTCCAAACAAACCGAAGCCTTTATCAAAAATCCAAATGTATACATTGGAACCTTTTAAAAAATGTAATATTTGCATTCTATGACCAGCTGTATGAAAATCACTCCTGTATCTTAACAAGACATCTCTAATTTGGAAATTTTTGCTTGGAAAAAGGACACAAATAGATGATCAGTGAAATCCTAAGTAGATAAAATTGACTTCATTCGATTTAGAAGGATGTAACTCTACACGGGGTTGCACTATAAGTTTCATGGAGCTAATGGAAATCACATTAGCAGGTACTGGACTATCATTAGCAAATAATAGGAGTGGGCTCGCACATGAGACAATGCAACACAACTCTTAAGAATTTCTGAATGCCAGCCTTTCTCTTCCATGTACACACTGTCCATAGGAGATTTCAACAAATGTCATTGCTTTCAGTATCACTTGAGGGCAGCCACTCCACTCAGTCCCAGATCTCCAACTCTATCAGATATTTTTCACTTAAGAACATAAGAACATAAGAGAAGCCAATGTTGGATCAAGCCAATGGCCCATCCAGTCCAACACTCTGTCACACAGTGGCCAAAAATACCAGGTACCACTTGAGTGTTATACTACCATCTCAACACAAACCCAAGCTTTTAACCCCTGTTCTACTCTGGCCTATAGTTTTCACTCCTCAGGCACTTCACCTTCTGCCTGCAAAATCACTCATTCATCTCTCTTGGACCTTTCCTTAAATCCCTACACTGGTTTCTTGTCCTCTCCTGGATCCATCAGAAATGTTTTGTCCTCACTTTCAATAACTTCTATGGCATTTCACCCTTTATCTCTCTCTGGTCTGCTATACTGGTACTTCCTTGGATTTTGTTTCTCCAGCTGCATTATCTATTTCTTTCAAGTCTCCCTGAACATTTCTGTCTTCTGTTCCTGATTAGTTTGTATGCTTAGAACTCCCTCTCAGAAGTCCTTTATGATTCTGCCACCCCCCCTCCTCAAAATATACCTCCTCAAAATGTACCTCTTCTGTTGGCGTATAAATCTCAGCTGAAATTGTTTACACTCACATAACTGAATTGAACACATAATTTCCTACTGCCACTTTCACCTACATCTTGTAAAATACAATGCTATATAAACAATAAAATCAAGACATGAATAAGAATAGAAGACCAAATAACATCAAGACTGGATAAAAACACAAGTTCCTTTCATTCTCACCCGCTTTATTCTTTTGGACCATGGCAGCCTTCCTTCCTTGTCAACATGTGACAAATATGTGACTAAAAGCCATCAAGATTCACAGTGACACCAAGACTGACAGTGACAATCAATGCTGATTCATAAGCCACCGAGATTCTGATTTCTGAGATCACCAGTTTGCAACCCTTCAAATCAGGCCCAAGATAAAAAAAAAAAATGGATGCACACCCAAAGTGGTTCTCAAGACTCATAACTCTCTCAAGGCTCATAACTCAAATCCACTAAATTGTGTCTGTGAACACACACAAACACAAAGACACACAAATCTGCAAAGAGGTCCCTCATGGAAAAATCAAGACTGCACTAAGACTGTTCAACCTATTATGCAAATATTATGGAATCCAGCAGTTTTGATCTTGGGAATAAGGCTGTACTTCCTGTGGCTTTCATCTCCCCTACAATGGAAGGGTAAATATGCTTTGGCTACACATAGGACAGGCTTTTAAATAATAGTCTCATTAGGCAGAGGGTATTTAAAGGGAAAGGGCACCTCATCTCTCAAACCATGGCAAAACAAGGACCATTAGGTGAAAATAAGCAACAAAATGTGGCACATATTTGCATAGAGATGTGGTCACTCAGAAGACAGCAATTAGAACATCTTGTGGTTAGTTACTGTTGTGTCTTTTTTTTTTTTTGCACCTTTATTTTAATGTCATAGAATTAGCTGCTTTTCCATATGGGAAAATGGCACTGATATAATTAAAACAATGCAGACACAATGCAAGAATGTTACACTACAATGATTCAGTGAAGTATCATTTTTTTCACGTAGACAAAGATCCAGACCATTAATTGGACATAGCTGTGCTCACGGATGTAAACGGCAGCTAGTTAAGCAAGGCTCCTGTTGGTGGAACATTGAAGAATGGGATTTGGGACTGAGAAAAACACCAGGATGTTAGTTTCACTGTGTCCTATGTAGATATCCATAGCATTGCAGGGGTTGGGTAATGTGCTTGTTTTGCTCTTGAGGAAGAAGATATTCAAAAGATGGTGATGGTGGAAATTACTGATGGGAGGGCCGATATATATTTCAATTTCTCAATGCACATCTTAATTTTTGTGAGATCCTTGACTTGCTCAGTCTGTCATAGATTGGCTAGGGAAGCCTACTAAGACTGCCACTGAGTTCAGCAAAAGTCATGCATCATATGGCTAAAGATGACATGAGGTCTGTCTATTTAGTGGACCGAGTGCTTTACAACCTGGTGTAACCTGAAGGTAAACAAAGTTTTCCATTGCACAGCTAAGGAACCGAAATGTTGGGCTAGATCCTGGGAAACCATTTTGCTAATGTTGGTGCTTTTCTTTGGCTCAGGGTGCCTTCCCCTGATGCAAGAGGAAGAATCTCTTGCATCAGAGCATGGCTCTTCCACCCATGGGATGCAACCCAATGAGATGACTACAAAGCAAGCTCATGGCTCACAGAAATTGCGTATCATATTCTCCACTCTTTACTCTGGACCATATTAGCTTTAAAAACCAACATCAGAAAAAATAAGTCATGAGGCATGTTCTCAAACAGCTATGACAGGTTTTTACTTTCTTGCTATTGCACCGTGGGTATAATGGGGGCCAAGCTTTCATTTCCCCTTGCTGATCTAGTAAGAAAAGTACTCACAATTCACAGTGACTCGGACTTGTTTGACATCTGCTGTGGAAACTTCATTTGCCGCTTTGCACTCATACTTGCCCGATTGCTCTCGTGTTATCCCCAGGATCTCCAAGAACTCTTCATCACCTTCAAATTCTCTAGCTAGGGGAAGATAAAGATACAATTCAATTAGTTATATGCAAAAGTCAGCTGGTTCAGACAATGTTGTATTGCACAGCATGTATGAGCGCTTATGAATGATGAAGCTGTAAAACAAAGAGTTCTAAAGAACAGTTGTTGGTCTCAATAACTAGCACAGAGATCCTGAAGGCACAGAAGGGGACATGAATGATGCAGAGCTCTTTTTTCATGTTATATGATAAGGATATAGTTCAAGGATAAAACATTTAGGGGCCTCAATAAGCCTATAACTGCTGCATGTAACTGTGACATAACATCTTAGTATAATTTACTACAGGTTGCAAACAGAAGTAACAAATATGTGCACAAATCCTGCATTTAGACTCATACAGGCTGTGTTATATTTGCAAGGACAGCATTATGGTGCCAGCCAATATTTCTAGAAAAGAATCAATGTGCCTAATGCCAAGATCAGTTTTTTTGCCCTATTTTGTCACAAGTTCTGAGAGATTCATGGCTATATTCAAATATGCTAAAATTCTATCACAAAATGTGCTTTTTTGGATATGGAGTATCTACATTCCACATAATTTGCACTGGACTCTGATCTTAACTTACAGTCTTCAGACGCTACAAGATAGGGACCCATCAGGGCTTGTTTGGCCCCTACTTTCAAAATTGTTGTTCTGTCTCTGCTTGACAGCATTCCTTCTGCTCCTATTCCCCCTCCAGTCTTTCCTATTAACCCAAGTCATCCATCTTCCCAATCGTTTTTATCTCTGTCCTCTTGTCCAACTACATGCCCAGTTTTTCTCTGCTAGCCACTCACTTCACCCACTCTCCCCTCATCAGCTCTCCTTCCTCCCTATAACACTTTTTATTGTCATGGATCATTTTTTGTAATACACAACCAAGATGCCTCCAAGAGGTTTTTGCCCACGAAGTCTGTGCATGTGTAGATGTCCCTTCGACTGATGGTTTTAATCCCTCCTCTTAAAAAACAACAACCTTTAAGGTTCCTCCTCCCGCCCCGCAAATCAGGGGTTTCCTGCAGGTTTGCAGAATTATGGCCCTGTTCACACAGAGCATTTGCCCCGCTGAAGGCACAGGAGTCCCACGGAGTATCCAGGCGCGATCACACAGGAACATCTGGGAGGTGTAGCGCTCCCGTAGTGAACCTGTGGCAAGCCACCGAAGCCGCGCAGTAAAAAACCACCTCACCGAATGTAGTGGCAAACGCTTTGTCACGGGCTGCCTATGGAAGCCTCCTGGTGTGATCCCGTCAGTGCGCGGCTTCCTCCCCCGTCATCCTCTTTGCTGCGGGGAAGCCGCTGTCGCGTCTGATTACATAATAGCGCATCAGAATACGACAGCACAAATAGCCATGCTCCCCCCTGGCACATCTGACCGGGGCCTATATACATTAGCACTTGGCATTACAGATTTTTTGGTCTGCAGAGAGAGCCATACTTGGATATTTGATATACGATGCACAAGTATACGGGCAAGCTGTAAATGTAGCCCAGATGTCTTCAAAGTTTCTATTGCAGCTGCTTGCATCATTGAATCAGACCATCAATGTCAGATTAAAAATAAGCCAGCTCAATGTGAGCTGTTTCAGTAGAAAAAAAATCAGCAAAATTTGTCCTACAAAAGCCATAAAACTAAAGTAGCCATCCCACATCATTAAAAAAAAGGCTACCCTAACAACCTTGAATTTCTTGGTTCTGCACAGCAAACTTCCATCCACTTTTCAGTAAGACAAATCCAGGTCTCCATATGTGACTGTAGCCAAAAACAGAGATTCAGATGCTTCCTATTCTGTGAATGGGGGGCATTAGCAGACAATGCCTCAATGGTGGTATCAGCAATGCCCATCCTTAGAAGCTTCTGTTCCCCTTGGATTCCCTACAGTGGTGCCACTGTCCCTGAAATTTCTATTCATTGTATTGGCACGGGTGTTCTGTGGCATATAAGCCAAAAACCATTAGCCAGCTCAGCCTAGCTGAGTGCAACAGAGGATGAATGAAAGGTCCTAGCCAAAACTGGGATTTTGAGACTGACTGATCTTTGACCAGAATATTGTAATTTGCAGTCCCTTCAATCAGGCAGTTTAAAACAACAACATCAAAATCAATGAGAAGAACAGTTCTAAACAACATCATTTATAGCTAAAGAATCATTTTCATTATTTGAGGTGAGCAAGAGCAGCCAAACCCCCCAAGAAGTACTTCTGGATTTGGAGAGTCCTCAAAGCACATCATCTGATCCTCTTCCAAACCGGTGATGGATTATATTTTGGCCCACATTTCAATTTCCAAGAGCTGCCAGGATTGATGCAAAGAAAAACAGGCACCTGGATATTGCCTCCATTTTGTGGAGGCTGAAGTAGTGTATTGTGCAAAGGGACAAAACAACTGTCCAAGTACGACCTAGAAATTACTCTGATAAACTACTGGAGAGATCATGAAAAAAGCTTTCTCTAGTAAGACAGGCAGGATCCTACAGCTGGTACTCTGAGGGTGGCTTCAGACATTCGTAGAGAGAAAATCAAGAGGGCTCTGTTTCCTCTTCCATCACTTGTTTTGAATGTCCAAGCTGAGCAGGTGCATCTCACTGCATGGTGAGATCTGTATGCAGCATATGACGAGACATCACAGTGGAAAGATGAGCACACTCAGCTTTGGATGTTAGAAAACAAATATGGGAAGAGAAGTGCCCAAAGGCTTTCATTATATATATCAAAGCCCTGTGGTATCTCCAGATTCAAAGGAAAAAACAGGAATAAGTAAGTGATTGCTAGAGGGAATGTAATAAACTACTGATAACAATGGCCTTTACGTACTTTATGTACTTTTAGAGTGCTTCACATGCTGTATCACAGTAATCATTTCAAGCATTTCACATGCACATTAACTCAGGAATCCCACAGCAACACTGTAAGGTAGATCAGTGAGCAAAGATGAGATATGATAACTTACCCATGGTTTTGAGTTCACAGAAGGGACAATATTTGCACTGCGGACATGCTGGTACAAAAATCAGTCTATTATGGTGCAATCCTTATGCAGAGTTATTCCAGTCTATGACCACTGATTTGGGCTGAGCTAAGTAACTCTGCATATGATTGCATTGCTAGCCACCTATGACTTTAGCTTTCAGCTTATTTACTTTCTCTGTGGTCCTACTGTTTGTACTGGGGTTTATTCAAGCTAGAACACATTCCTAGCTCCCACAGAAGCTGTTGAAATGCATAGATGACCAAGAAGATCTTGCAACAACAACAAAAATCCACATTTTGTCAAATACAAAGGAAAGCATCTATGAGCGTAATTCCTTGCCTTTAGATTCTTATTTATAATTTTAGATGCCATAATATTGTATAATTTTATTGCTCCCTTATCTGTACTTATCTGTCTTCTATTATACTGGTCTATGACCATAATAAAGGCTTGTTGTTGTTGCCTTTCATAAACCCACTCACTATCTTGGATTCTCAGTGGTGTAGACATTCCTAGACAATGGTGTGATAGGTATTGCTAGAAATGTCATCTTCCCATCTCAACAGCCACTGAACACCCATTCCTACACACAAAAATTTGGTTAAAGAAAAAGAACATTCGCCATGCACAGATACAAGACGCTGCTTGATTCTGCAAAAGGAGTTATTCCGCCCCATCTCAACAGCCACTGAACACCCATTCCCACACACAAAAAAATGGTTAAAGAAAAAGAAATTCGCCATGCACAAATACAAGACACTGATTGGTTCTGCAAAAGGAGTTATTCCGCCCTATCTCCCATTTCCCCCAGTTGTACTGCTCAATTTCCTACATTTTGACCTGCATCTTCCCCCAATTTCCCCCACATCTTCTTGATCCTAAAAAATAAGGATCAAGAAGATGCTTTTGCAGAATCAGCAACCGCTTTGCAGAATCAGCAGTGTTCTCAGGTGTGAATATTCCCACCACTGTTCTCCAAGACTCTTTTCATGGTTCTGCCTAGGCCTTCCTGTAACATATTCAGTCCTGGGGTTTGGCACTCATTACAACAGGTTTGAGGGGGTGAGAGGTCTTCTTAGGCCTCAGTGTTTCATGTAGTGCTGACTTTATCCCTTGAATGTCACAGCTTGTTGTTGCTGCCATATTTATATTTCTAAAATGCTTGCTGTGCTTCTGGAGTTGTACAAGCATAGAATTTAAAACTGTGCTTCAAAGTGGTTCAAAATCTAAAATGTAAAGAGTAGATAGTCGAAGAGGAATATGGGGAGAGATGGGAGGTAAAATACATTTATAATTTTAGTAAACCAACATTTATTCAGGGGGATGAAGCTTTGATTTATACTCTGAATACAGCTATGAATAACAATTCAGACATAGCCCCTTTATAAAGTGATGTCTGCTAAAAGCAGAACTATTTTTATTTTGAAATTCACTACTAAAGTGTGGTGTCATATCACAGTAATAAGAAACAAACAGTCACAGTTGGGCATTGTATCTAGACTTCTTTGCAGAGATTCAGTGTTATTTGCGCCAATTCTCTTCAGCGGGCAGACAACATGGGTCTTGCTAGCTCCCGTCTAAACGTCTAAAAGTAGTCAGAGGCTATCTTTGAGGAAGAGGGAAATGAATAGTAAGAAGAACAGAGTCTGTCTGCAGGGAGGCATTAAATTGTCAAGCTCAGAAGAAAAGAACCAGCAGGGAGTTGTTTGTTGCTATCTGTTTCATAGCAGCAAAAGGGAGATGGAAGAAGGTGGACATTTTGGACAATTCCCAGAGAAAGTCACTAGGCTTGCATTATTTTACAAGCAAGTTGGAAGTACCACCTGCTTACTGGCATTCTCCATTGTTATCGTTCAAGATGGCCTCCCCACTGTGTAGTCTCCAAATGTTTCCTTAGTTTAGTTTTATGTGTCCTAAATTATGGGTGTTTCTTCACCATAGTCCTAAGGCAAGACAATCCAGTATACAAACACAGCTGACCTTTACAAAACTGACCTTTTCTTAGTGACACCTCATAAA